CATATTGTTACTCATCATATTTTTTCTGTCGCCTTGCCAAAACGTAAGCATAATTTCTGTCGCTTCAGATTTGTGTATGTATGCTATTTTCCTGCAATTTTGTTACATTTCTTTATAAATCTAGTATCATCGATTTGGAGTAAGTGCCAAACAAACTCAGCTAACTCATGCGTGTCGTGCCGTGAGTTGTCAGTTGCGAAAGATGGCGGAATTACAAACTTTATTTTAAAAATATTTCTTGTATTAATTTTTCCGTGCCTTTTTTTTCTTAAATGCAAGCCTTGTCCTGACAATAACGAACACAATAAAAATAGAATCATCCAATTTGGTTCAGTCGTTCGGGAGTGATCCGCGTACATACTTTTCGGCGATTCATTTTCATATATTTATATAGATTTATTTATTTATGTATTAATGGCACTTGTTAATAATTATTTACTGCTTCTCTCTAACCTGCTCCTCTCCCTCCTTCCATGAAGCCTAGTCAACTCTTAAATTACTGTGTAACCATAATAAATCTATTCCCAGATAAATAATCAATGCGTGACTGTTGACAGTACAAAATTAGACACGGTTGTCCCACCGACGAAGCGACTCACTATCAGCTTTTTCTCGCTCAAGAAACGTACAGTAGATATACATTCCGTGTAAACAAAAGAGAGGCGTGTATTAATAGTTGATCGCTGACACTGCCGGCGAGAAATCTCTCCACTAACTTATCTCCGAGCGACAACAGCGATGCTCGCTTGTCTCAAAACCTGTGCATTTCCTTCAGACTTGTATCCGCAAGCGAGTGCCGCAACTCGCTTATGCCCCGCGATAAAACTATCGGAACTACAAACTCACTTCCAGCTGCTCGCTAACTCGTTTCTAGTTTCTAGATCTACTAGCTTATCGTTCATCGTCGGCGGTAGGGCAAGTGCCAACGTAGACCTTCGAAAACAATTGCCAACGTAGAAGTACGAAAACACATGACTGTGTTAAAAACAAAACCCGAAGAAATAATAATAAATTCCATTTCGTAATAACAGAAGTCTGCGTTCTATTATTTCTGCGACGATCCATGACGAATTTGTAACATTGTGACAATATTGTGCCTGAGAATCATGTTATTTTTGGAGTCGTCGCTGTATCAGTAGGGACCAAGTTACAAAGTAAAATGAATTCATTTAACGAATGAAAGTAAAATGAATTCCTTTCTCCATCTCTAATTTCTTTATGAACAAAACGTGTTTCAGACATTTTTGGAATTCTAAATTTGGCGAAAATGAAAACCTGTTACATTAAATCTGTATATTTATTTTATAATTGCTATCTGTGATACTGAAGCCGCCTAAACATAAATAATTTATTACAATTTATGTAGACCCAAGCTCTCAGTAATAATGTGATACTTTTCCTATGTTAGTAGTTAAAATCATCATTGTTTAAGTTTTATTTTACCTTTATTCTTGGAACAATCAAAATCAGCCTTAATGGGTAAACAATATAGTAGCTTTTTATCGCTCGAATTGTAGAATGAGGTCAAAAGGGTTATGTATGTTATTGTTATAAACGCTTGTAGCGTAAGGTAAGCACGATATGATTGTTTGACTCTTGTGAAATTTTGGTGTACGGGAACGAAATAAAAACTGCATTATAACGGTACTTGCGCTGTCAGTCAATATCATCACCTTAAGGAAAGCATTAAAGGCCGATGGCTATGAATATTCTATATTATGAAAACTTACTCTAACTCGCTCACAAACCTATTAAGAGGAACCAGTTTTGATTTAGGTTTAATAAACCAATATTTGATGCGTATAAAAATAAACGGTAAATAATTTCACGGATCTGTTTACTTGTTTTTAAACTTCAAAGTTAGCGTTATCGGTCAAACGAATAGAAAGAATGCCACTTGTCTAAACTACTTGGACGTGATATTCTGAAAGTGGTTTTTCTCTAACGCTAAGAAAGGTTTAGTTTAGTTTTTTAGGGCTGTTACCTGGGCTGGGCCGCACTTAGTCCTAATTATTGGTGAATTGTACGTGTCTCGAAACATTCCCGTTTACTCCAGCCAGCCTAAGTTAGTCTAGAAGGAAAGCAGCCTTGGCAAACTGCTGCAAGCTTCCGGAAGCGATACTGACGACTGGATAACTCGTGCACGTAGGTCGGCCACACTCCTGCATTCCATGATGACATGCTGTGGCGTTTCTTCTGCCTCCATGCGTCCTTTGCATAGGGGGCTGTCTGTTACTCCTATTGTATGTAGGTGTTTGTTTAGGGGACAATGACCAGTCAGGGTTCCTATAATATTGTAGAGTTTATCCCTATTTATTCTGGTAAGGGTACGGGCAAGTCTCTTGTTTTCCGTTCACCACTCTGTCAAGTGTGATTTCAGAGTTCATTCACGCAGCCACGTTTTAATTTGGGCCTGAGGTATGGGCAGCGAAGATTCCGGACTATACACTTTTGTGTCAGCTCCTCTCTTAGCCAGTTCGTCTGCCGCATCGTTTCCAATTGAGTTGCTGTGTCCTTTTATCCATTGCAGAGTTGCCGTGTTGATTACCGAAATAGATTGAAGTGCATTGTGGCACTCCATTACCAGGACAGAGTTTATTGTGTTGCTACGTAGAGCTTGACGCACGAATGCACTGTCAAAAATGATTTTAATGTTAAACTCTCTGATGTCTCGGGCCGTAACCGCCTGTGCCGCTTTGGTAATGTCAGCCGATGTTGCTTCATCTGGCGCGAAAAAGCGGATGTATCCGCTGCCAAACATGTGTGCAACACGGTGTTCTTTGTCCAGTATTGTTCCTTCCCTTCTCGCGCGCCGGTTGGGGTGACTGCGTTCCGTTTGGCCCTGCGAGCCTTTGTGTGGATGGCTGCCGCATTAGCAGTGTCCCTTTTGCAGGGGCGCTTATGGGCGACCACAGAACAGTGTAGTAGTTGTTGTCGTTAATTTTGTTTGTGTAGATGTAGTTATGGCCTTAGCTAGGCCAGACTGGTCCAGGCTTGCGCCCCCCAGAATACGTGGGACAGACCAAGCTAGTCTTGGTGAGGGATTATTCACTAATCTCGATACCCTCCCGGGGTACTGTATCTCTTTTCGGAGCACTCATGTTGTTTTTGTGACTTTGGCAGGAAATGCCAAGTAACGCACACGACTCCTGCCCAAGGATATGTGGTACAATCTTTAAGGGAGTTCTTAGTTCCCCTAGGTCATGTGAGCACGGATGTGGATATGCGCCGCCACGATTCGGCTACGCGGGATTTGTGATATGGTCAGAGGTTTCTGTTATGTAACGGGCGGCAACCTCGTAAAAGATAGTCCTCTGGCCTTGATTAGGGGATCTCTGCGACTTGCGCCACTCCCTAACCCGTTCGCCAAACCCAGTATTGGAAAGATGCTGAGAGCAGGTGATCATCAAGCAAGGAGGAGATTTGAGTTTTGAGATTTCTTGTTTGATCATCCCCCAGCCTAAGAAACGAAAGCGCGTTAAGTATGTGATTGCAAACTTAAGCTGCTTCCTTCTTCAGTAGGTACCGTTACCCTCGAGCAGATGGGCGCTTATTTAATGCGCAATAAAAACTCACCGAAATGGAACTTAGGAGTGCCGGTCTTAGGTTTTCAACTTTATCCTCAACGACCATCGCAGCGCTACACGATAGAGACTCAATTGTCCCGTTTTTCATATAAAACTGCCTACCTAAGAAAAGTGGCCTAAGATTAGTAAACCTGCAATTTTTTATTAATTTATTTGAAAACCAGCATTGTAGCAATGCTATTGTTTTTTTCGAAAACTGTCTCCCAGAATAGTATTCACCGCATCGTTAGAATCAAGTAGTAGTTTACCAAGCGTATTGCGATGACTAACATGCAAATTGGTCTCTTGAATTTCAAATGTACACTCTGGAATGATTTAACTAACATGCAATAATAACCTCCCATGGGTATGCAACGTTCTGCGTGCACTCTGTAGCTGTAACTTAGATAACACTTTGTTTAACACTGTTAAACAAATTACTATAACGATCTTGCTTGGAGTACTTTTTTAGTTTAGAAAAAAAAATTTTAAAAGAAAATAGAGAAAATTATCATTAGATTTAATCATCTAGCAGTTAAATGCTTAAAATATAAATAATATAACAATAATTGCTATTTCTTCTTTCAAATGTTGAATACTTTTAAAGGAACCTTTTTTTTACATTTTCTTTCTTTACACTAATACTTTATATTTTTAAAAGTGTATCGTAATTACGAAGTAATTTACCTTAAATATATAATCTTTTAAAGGTATTAATTTGTCATTGTGGGTTACCTACAATGCGAAGAGATGGCACTGCCTGCCTAAGGCTAGAGAAAATTCGCCACGGCCATCAGGGCCGCGGTGGCGTAATGTTCAGTGCATTTGTCCGGATTTTTTTCTAGTAAAATTTTCTTTAGAGTTAAATATCTAGCAGTTTAATGCTTAATAATAAATTATATGAAAAAAGTCTTCAGAAGAACTTTTAAAAGTTAAGTTCATAAGTTGGTTACTTTTACTTGAAACAAGTCATTTGAAACGTATTTCTAAAAAAAGGTTTTGTTCTTTCGTATTTTTGTATTGAAGATTGATTTCACACAAAGAGGTTCCCACGTTTTTCTGTTTTGAAACAAACAAAATATTGATACTAACGACGTTTTGAAATTTTACGCTAGATCAGAATCGTCTTTATTTCGCAGAGAAGCTAAAAAGATTTCCGAGATAGAATAAGCTTATATTTAAGTTAGGTTTAAATGAAAAAAAATCTGACTTACATTACTACTCCATTTTTAATTTGTTAAAATTAATATTTTTTTATGTCACAGAAAAAGTATAGTACTATAAGTATGATGTATATGATTTTACAAGCATTGAGAGGACTCCGTCTCCCTCCCACAGGTCCAAAGTCCAGTGTTGGTGGTGGAGCTGACCCTCAACAGGCTGGAAGGCACCCAGTTGCGGGCGCTCGGCCTCCTCTCAGTGTTCGGGTTCAACATGACGTACGCCGTAAGAGCACCCACCAGTGACCCTGGACCGCCCTCCTGCAGCGCCATCGAATGCAGACTCCTTGGACACTGTTACGCTCAACAGGATTACAAGTGAGTTATATTTAGAAGTGTCTAGAACTGTGACTGTGACCAAGAAGGTCGTAAGGGATCGTAAGAAATTGGATGTCCCTCTTTCGCGTCATTGAATGCCATTGCTTCGCTCAGCAGAATAATTAGTGAGTAACGTTTATATATGTGTCTAGAAGATTTCTGCCCAAGGCGTCATTAGGAAGTGGTCGTCCATTTATAGTACCAAATACCTTAGAATGCTTAGATTCTTGGGGCTGTTTTACTCACAGCAGTTCTACGAGTGCAAGTGAAATATAGAAGATCTTCATAGGGTCAAGGCACCCAGTTACGGGCACTCGATCTCATGTCTGTGTTCGGGTTCAATATGACGTACGCCGAAGAGCTTTCACCAGTGACCCTGTACCGCTCTCTTGCAGCGTCATCGAATGCAGACTACTCGGACACTATTACGATTAACAGGATTACAAGTGTTATATTTAGAAGTGTCTACAACTGTGACATAGATGGTCGTAAGGGATCGTTAGAAATTGGACGTCCCTCTTTTGCGACATCGAATGCCACTGCTTCGCTCTGCAGGATAATAAGTGAGTAACATTTACATGTGTGTCTAGAAGATCTCTGCCCAAGGCATCGTTAGGAAGTGGACGTTCATTTATAGCACCAAACACCTTAGAATGTTTAGATTCTTGGGGCTGTTTTACTCTCAGCAATTCTACAAGTGGAACATAGAAGATATCTTCATAGGCTACAAGGCTCCCAGTTACGGGCACTCGGTCTCCTATCTGTGTTCGAGTTCAACATGACGTACACCGTAAGTGCTTCCACCAGTAACCCTGTATTGCCCTCCTGCAGCGCCATCGAATGCAGACTGCTCGGACACTATTACGATTAACAGGATTACAAGTGAGTTATATTTATAAGTGTCTACAACTGTGACATAGAAGGTCGTAAGGGATCGTTAGAAATTGGACGTCCCTTTTTTGCGACATCGAATGCCACTGCTTCGCTCAGCAGGATAATAAGTGAGTAACATTTACATATGTGTCTTGAAGATCTCTGCCCAAGGCATCGTTAGAAAGTGGACGTCCATTAATAGCACCAAACACCTTAGAATGCTTAGATTCTTGGGGCTGTTTTACTCTCAGCAGTACTACAAGTGAAATATAGAAGATATCTTCATAGGCTACAAGGTACCTAGTTACGGGCACTCGGTCTCCTGTCTGCGTTTGGGTTCAACATGACGTACGCTGTAAGAACTTCCACCAGTGACCCTGTAACGCCCTCATGCAGCGTCATCGAATGCAGACTACTCGGACACTATAACGCTGAACAGGATTACAAGTGAGTTCTATTAAGAAGTGTCTAGAACTGTATTCTAGGTGTCTGCCTAGGGGATCGTTAGAAATTGACGTCTTATTTTCCCACCATCGAAAACCGCAGTAGCTTTCTCGTCACTTCGTACGCTCAGTAGAATAACAAGTGCCTAGAAGATCTCTGCCCAAGGCGTCGTTAGAAAGTGAGCGTCCATTTATAGTTTGTATGTTTGTTACTCTATCACGCAAAAACGGCTGAAGGGATTTGAAAGGAATTTGGCACAAATATAGTTTATTACCTGAATTGAGACCTGGGATACTTTTTATCCTGAACAATGTAAGGTTTCTGAAGAAGTTTCTAAAAACTAAAGTTACGCGGACAAAGTCGCGGGTGGCCGCTACTAATATTATAAAATGTGAAAGTTTGTATGTTGGTTACTCAATGACGCAAAACCTACTGAACGGGTTTGGATGAAATTAAGTACGCATGTAGTTTATACTTATTATCCCACAAAAATGTTTGGTTCCTGCGGGATTCTCAGAAAGCTATAGTTATCGCGGATAAAGTCGCGTGCAGGCGCTAGTATAGTATAAAATATCAAGAATCATACCATCTACAGGCTATTGTCAGAGCTATGCCATTGTTGTGTTCAAATTAGCTAAATGAAGGCCATGAACATTCGCTAACGTATTTTTTTCTTCCCAAAAATAGAGCCTTATTATTATATCGAAATATTGCCATTACAAATATCTCCAATATCTATCACGTAAGCAGAATCGTGCAGCAGCGTGTATTCAATATCTGAAACATGCTTCCATGTCTTTAGTATTTACGCTACGTTACACATGAACCCTTATATTCCTTTGTATGTAACAGTTGTTTCCCTTCTTTCACATTCCCCACTTTTGGTTTCTATGTGATCCCGCGTTGATAACGTGGAAACTTTCACGAGCCTACGCAATAAATACATTGGTACATCTCTATGTAAGCTCCAATGATTCGTTAATTAGCTTTTGTTCCAATAATATGAACGCTTTAAATGTTCCTAGGGAACATGTATTTAATAAAAAATATCCAATCAATATTTACCAAATCGAATCTTCCAGTTTAAATTGTTACTTTAATTCCTACGTTTAAATTTACAACTTATTTACTCGTACATAGGTTAAAATAATGCAGATTAGCATTTTATTTTGTAATATTGATGGGTGCAAACGACTTCAGTTACAGGCGGGACCAACGGCTTAACTTGCTTTCGAAGCACGGAAGAGTTCGAGTTAATAAATTTTTGGTCACCCATCCTATCGCAGACCGAACGAACTAGTTACTGCGCCACCGAGCTCTTCAACAGTTTCAACGCAGTTCCAATATGATAACGCAGGTATTTATTTATTTCAAACTATCATTCCACGTAAAGTTGCAAAATGACATTCAATAAAAAAATTGGGAATGAATTCGTACAATTAAAATACATATATAATCATGTTAATTGACATTTTATTTTATTTTTATTGATATATTTGTTAATTTTAATTACTGACAAATTTAATTTAATTTTATAAATTAATTTCTATTATATTTCTACTGTTAATAAGATCAATTGAGTAAGTTATATTGTTAAACAAATGGAATCAGATGACATTTATTCATAATTTGAGATATAAGTGGTTTAATACAAATTAGGTTCCTTATATACATAGCTGTTTATTAAATAAATTCTTTTGTAATTTTTATCTTTAACTGTACTGTATATTGCGATACCCTGACAGGGTTCATGTTAGGTACTATAAGCATTTTGTAACCATCGATGTAACCACATGAGCGCAATAAATTGAATTGAATTGAATTGAAAAAAAAAATATAAAACTGCCGACAGTCACAAAATAGTTTTATAACAATGCACGTCAAACCGTGTGATTTATCGAACAGGCTCAAATTTCAAATCTCATCTCGTTATTCAGAATCAAAATTCATTGTTTCGCTAATGTAGGTAATTGTGCAAATTGAGTTTAAAACGCTTAATCGACAAATCACACGATTCACCTCACGAGATTATATTGGGCGCGGCGGCGAAAATGCACCGAAATTTTGTATTTAATGGGTTGGATTTATCAACGAAAAATCTCACTCGAAAACCCATTAACGGTTCCAATAGAGCGGGAAAATTTAGTGAAAAAGCAGAACAAAGTGGGTGCGCTACAGCCGATGACAAGCGACGCGATGCAGACCAAAATAATAGTGCCATCATTCACTGTTTACAAATGCCATGGCAATACGCAGCAAAACTCATCCGCCTTATTCCAAAAACGCGGTCCAAAGTTAGTCTTTGTTTTAACTTATGCCCCCTTATTAATAAACGAAGATTACGCTTGGATTTTTTTTTATGTTATAGGGGGCATACGAGCAGACGGCTCACCTGATGGTAAGTGATCACCGTCGCCCATGGACACTTGCAACACCAGGAGTATCACAAATGCGATGCCGGCCATTAAGGATGGAGTACGCTCTTTTTTTGAAGGTTTTTGGGTCGTACTGGTCCGGAAACACTGCTGGCGACAATATATTCCACAGTTTTGTCGTACGTGGTAAAAAAAATCGACAAAAACGCACGGTTGTGAATAGCCACGCATCAAGATGATGGGGATGAAATTTTTGTCGCGATGTACGATGGCGAAATGCAGCGGCTGGAATTAATCCGAACAATTCCTCAAATCACTCCCTGTGATAAATGCGATAGAAGATGCAGAGCGAAGCATGTATGGATGCGATGGATTAGTTACTCCATGTTTTGTCTCTGTCTATTGAATGACAAATGGCATTTGAGTGACATGAACAAAACACAGTCTTACTAGTCTAACCTTATTCCTTGTTTATTAATAAGAGGGATGATGTCCCTCTCTTCTTTTTAGCAAACAAAAGTGACAGCATCAGTTTTAATCGAGGTTTAACTTAAGTCTACGTTTTGTAACAGCGGGCGGCTTGTGTATTAAAATATATAAGTGTCAGAGAGGCTGTTTCCGCTCACTTGGTCCTTTTGGATGATTTATTGCTGAGACTGACTATATTTTCCGCATCGCAGGGGCTTTTTCTGTTCCTGTTTCGAGGGATACTCCGGTCCGGACTGCGGTGTGGGTCCGCTGTGCCCGCGAACCTCCAACATGTGCAAAAACGGCGGCACTTGCAGGTGAGCCAGCTGAACCGTTGCTTTTTCCAACATTATGTGTCCCAAAACCGAAGCGGTTTATACGTGTTGCATGATGAGTAAATTTTATCTTTCGTAGCTGTATTATAATAAATAGCAACGCCTTTTTAGACTTGAGTGGTATCATTTAGCGTATAAGTATCGTTTTTAGATGTGTCAAGGTCAAAACAACCATAATCCAAAGAATTTTATATGTTTTATTTAAGTTAGTTTCTTTTGTACATTACTTCTAACGAAATTTAATTTTGTGCTGTCGTGATTTTAAAGAAATACGAAATTTGCCTTCCTTTCACGCCATAACTCATATTCGCAAATTAATTTTGAAATTAAATAAAAGTTTAAATTGCTACTTTTTTCTTTAACAGTAGAGTACAAGTCTTTGTAAAATACTGTTTCATAAATTCTGTACCCTTAGCACGAACCAATATCGAATTTTAATAGTTTGCGAGTCCGAAATATTATCATTGTCAATTTTGTATGAAAACTTGAACAGCAGCGTCATAACGGACGTAACGAGAACTAAAAATCAGTAGACATTTGACAATAACATTTCGCACTCTCAAATTATTTAAATTCGATATTGGTTCGTGCTAAGGATACTTCTCTGGTCACTGCCGTTAGCGTATTGTATTAGAAAAACCAGTCAAGCGATAGTCAGACTCGCTCACGAAGGTTTCTATTCCATTATCTACGAGTATCTATACAACATTAGACACTTAATATAGTAGCAATAACGTCGAACAAGCTTAAGAGCCAATAAAAATTTTATTTTCATTATTTTCTTTTTAAAGTAAAGATACAACTAATCATTCTGTAAACATTTCAATCGCCTATCCGTTACTGTTATTGATTGAGCACGAAACGGCAAAAAAACACCTTTGTTGTATGGGGGCCTCCTTAAATATTTATTTTATTCTGTTTTAATAAAGTAAAAAGTAAAATTTCAACTGTCTAGCTATCACGGTTCATGAGATACATACTGGTGACAAACGGACGGATAGTGGAGTCCCGTTTTTATCATTTTTGTCTAATAATGTTTTTAAATAACGTAGTACATGCGTTGATCGGTTTTCTAATTAAATCTATACATAAGTATAAATAAAATTGGAGTGTCTATTTGTAATATTTATATAACCGCTTTTTACTACATGCATATGAATATATATACGGTACATGCACCAAAATATTTGTTTTACAATTTTTGTCTGTCTGTCTGTTTGTTCTGGCTAATCTCTGAAATGGCTGGACCGGTTTTGAGGGACTTTTATTGGAAGGTAGCTGATGTAATAAGGAGTAACTTGGGCTACTTTTAATACAGAAAAAATCTTTGATTTTAGAAAAAAATAATCTAAAAGTTAACGCGGACGAAGTCGCGGGCGGCCGCTAGTGATAAATAATATATATATATATATAAATATATATATATATATATAGACCAAAACGGAATTACTCCTAATATTTGTTGAGCGACTTGCGCTCGTTACAAGTTATAATGCGCATTACTGCGGTACTGTTCCGCCCTATTTAACTTCAGCCAGAAACGTCTGACACAACTCCGACATCTTTGTTCGGTACACAAGATTCGCAATGTTGTATGATTTTGCGAGTACCGACTACTGCCTGCAAATTTGAATAATTCTTAGAAGTTTCCTTTGTCCTTTTTTTCTTTTAGATAGAAACAATTTTCCCGATACTTAAAGTAACTAAGTAAGTACATAGTACAAACAATATACTTTACCGGTCTTTTGAAGTGCGACAATTTGAAATCTTTGGTTGTTATATTTGTAAGCTTTCAACTGCTAGATTTGGGGTCTTTTAAGAGAGTCGCGAAGCATTTTTGCAGGCTAGCAATGGTTGGTGTGGCAGTTTATAACTGCTGTACCAGCTATCTTCGCGTTTAGACTTTATCACGCCACTTAACATGAGGTGGGGTAGAGTCATTTGCCTACCTGGCTATAAAAAAAAGGATTTATAAAAGTAAAGAAAATTTTACTAGAAAAAACATCAGACAGTATTCAAACTAGCACCTTTGGCACCTACTGTCTGAAATCTGAGTGATTGAATGGTTTTTTTTTCTAGTAAAATTTTCTTTAAAATAAGGAAATATGTATGATTATTTATTATATTTTCACTTCTTAGTTTTCCTTCCCTTAATATACTGTAAATATATTCAACGTCAAAAATATTAATGTGTCTAAAAAAGCCGAATTTCGAGTTCAAATAGATGTTTTATTAAAAATAAATAGAGGGGCAATTCAAAAGGAATAGAATTTCCATGAAAAAAAAATTAGCCTTATTTCTATTAGATTCCGATTCCCTATTGAAAATTCTGCTTACAAATGTTTCACAAGAATTTCATCGCAAAAACAAGGTAGCTTTTTTGCATAGGTACTGTAAGGTTTATACTCGTACAATTTGATATTTTGTGCGCTTTAAATAGTGCAATCTCATTAATATTTTCGTATTTGAGACTCCAGTAAAATGTTAAAGCTCAGACTTTGAACATGTACAATAAACATACCTTTTTTTTTAACATTCGGGTCTCTATATATCTCTCATAACGGATATTTGAAGATTATTACAGTGCAGCAACAGTCAACTATGTTCTCCTCTATAGGGTTTGTAATTGTAGTTGTAGTATACCTGTTATTTTGTTTACTTTATAGCGCCTAACACGTCCTCACCAGGCCCTGCCAGAATACCAGCGCTGATACAGTGAGAGAATATTTTGTCAATGTATCAGCATAAGCTGAGGCAGGGTCCTGATTCACCGACTTAGTTCTAGTGATTAATTTTTGTTCTTAGGTTAAGATTCTTTTTTATATTTTTTTCTGTTTCTTTCAGTAGGTTTTAATATTGTATACAAGATGGCCAATAAAGGTTTTTCATTTCATTTCATAGTAAGTGTTTGTTGAATGTGTTAAGTGAGCATTTTTTGTCGTATTTGTTTATATTATATGCTTATTAAGTCTACTGTTAAAAGTAAAAACTCTGTTCATTTTTAGGATTGATCGATGTGTACCGTCAGGGTTTGTCAATAACTGACTTTTCTATTGAAAGAAATCTACATTAATTCGTTAAACTTTACATACCGTATTTTTTATGAAATATGCATTTAATTATTCCATGAAATGCAGTCAAATTCACTTACTACAATTAAACAAAACTACTAGATGACCTCCGTGGCCAAGTGATTTGTACGCCGGTTCATGGTATCGCCGACTCGAGGGGTCCCGGGTTCGAATCCCGGTGTGTGCGATGTTTGTGTGATGAATACGAGCATTTGTACTCGAGTCATAGATGTTTAAGTATTTCTATATACATATACTTATTTAAGTACAGTATATGTTAAGATTTTATTTATTTTTTAAACATTTAACTGCTAGATGTTTAAATCTAAAGAAAAGTTTACTAGAAAAAAAAATCCACGCGGACCAGGCAGCGGACGGGATTACAGTATATGTATTCTATCCGTTACCCTAGCATCCCATAACATAAGCCTTACAGTGCTTACTTTGGGCTAGGCTAATTGGTGTGTTGTAAAAAAAAAAGAAATGGTACTAAATATACATGAAAACAAAAGAAACATTCTTTAAGGCTGATCACAACACTAGATGAAATGTGAGTCAATTTGAATCGAATATGTATAGTTTCAAACTGCATGGTGTTTGCCAAGTTAATGCAATTGCTGGAAACGGGTTACACATTCGGCTAGTGCCGAACAACTTTGAACATTTTCTACGTTGCGTTATTTAATTTTCTTCCCGGCACGGCGGCGGGCGGCTGCAATAGTTTCGGTTAGCCCATAAACGCTTACCAACTTTAACACAACTTACTTGAAACTCCGACATATCTGCAGTCTAATATCATACACTTTGTTTATGGCAACCGAAAATTCGAATAGCATTAGCTAACTCGTGGATTTTCAATAAGTTAACACGAGAATTTCGCCATGACGAAGTTTCGCTCGTATTTTAGCGCCTTTACCATACCACACATAACACAAGACTGGTGTTGTGTTTCTGTTGGTACAGTTCCAGGGCTTCACGAGGTCGGGGATTGGATTCAGGTCGGCAAACTGAGGATTTATGAAGCGGCACATTTTCTTTATAGCTGGGTAGGTAGGCAAATGACTCTACTCCACTGATATTAAGTGGTGGTAAAGTCCAGACACGAAGATAGAGTTATGATAAAAATTAAATCCTAATAGGGTATTTGACAGTATTAAAAATAAAGTGTCAATTGTTAGCATCTGTGTTTAGAATGAATATGGGCAGGGATTTTTACTATTTTTACAAAAAAATATTCAGAATTTTACTAAAAACCCACGAAAAAGATAATAGTTTTCTTATCTATTGTCACGTGACCCAAAACGCTTCGGATTGGCGGAGCCTAAAATAACGTCACACGCAAGTAAACTTCCGGTTAAAGTGACATTACATTGTGTCGTTTGACGTTCTAATTACAGTCGTGTGACGTGACACACTAGTAAGACGCCATATTGTCCAGAAAAACGTTTTCGCGGCAACTTGAAAATGGAGTTTTTGTTTTGGATATTTTTACTGAAATACACAACAGAATGATTTATATCTACTTTTTACGGACTCCATAAGCATTAGTCAGTAACGTGAGATCGTTTTCTAAAACTTGTCAAATACACTATTGTTCACTAAATCAGAATTTTTGCTTCATGTTTCCCATAGCTTTTGTGTTCAAAAGAGCACGCGTTATAACTTTATTTGCCCATGGTTCTAACAAAAACAGGAAGAAAACCAACAAATATTTCAACCCCTCAACTCATCCTCTATAAAAATTGGCAAATACGATACATATAGTGTGTAGGACGGATACCGAAAAAGATGGATTCTCTAACATGATTGAATATAAATAGCTCGCATGTTTTCCCGCCCCCGCTTTGTAGCATTTGTTTTCATACAAAAATGGAAAGAGTATCAAAATACAGAAAAGGTTAGATGCTATTTATTGGTTGTGAGGAAAGGGGCAGTGTCCCAGTGTCCCGGTGACGATTCATCATAACTGTCCCGGTGGACGTATAAACCGGCTGACCTACGGCGCTATAAAAAATTGAAACTCGTGCAACAAACCACTGGCTTATAATACCCGACTGCTAAATGAAATCTCTAAAACAATGAATTTCGAATGAGGGTTTTTGACTGTATGAATAAATTAGGGGATATTTTTCAGAGTTTCGGCGAATCTGATGACTTTGTTTCCGGACAAACGAAGCTTAACAAATTTTTGATATTAGTGATTAATGGGATGCAATAACAAAGGTGCAATATAATTGAAATCAAAACATATTATTAATCAAAGTTCCCCGTTGCGTCCGTCTGTCAATCTGTTCGCGATTTTAAAAAACTAGAGACCCGAAGAGTTTTCATGCGGTCAATATAGACGTATGAAAACATGTGGACCCCCTCATCCACCCGATCAGCCGAATGACCGTGGCGGAAACTGTACTGTCGTAAGATGAAAAACGACGTAAAATGAAACTCCAATACGTTCATGTTTTATGAATCATATATGTTCATATTTTATCAATACTTCAAATTGTCATCAATCAAGTACATTAATGAATTAGATATGTAACCATTTTTAACATTGTCATACAAATCTGTCTTATAAGGCATTTTTATTTTATACTAGTGGCCCGCCCTCGCTTCACTTCGGTGTAGAGCTGTAGTGTAGATTTAAATGACTCTTCATATAAGTAATTATAAAAAAACTGAAAATGGTATATTTGCCTTTTCCAAACTTCTATTGACATCACGTCCCAGCATCTCTCCGCTAACATCTAAAATTTATAGTATGGTATTAAAGTTCAAATTGACTTTTAAGTATTATTACGAATCCTTTGTATGGGAGTATAGAAAAATGTTGTTTTTGGTCATTTTCAGACATTTTTTTTAATTTTTCTCTGCGTAAGAACCATCCTCGTATTTCAAGGAATATTCTAAAAAAAGAATTATCGAAATCGGTTCAGCTGTTCTCGAGAGTTGCGCTTAGCAACACATTCAGCGATTCATTTTTATATTATCGATTGTTTCTATTTTTCTCAAATTACCTCGATATTTAAAAAAAACATACATGGAATCTATCGATTGTATCTCCCCTGACTCTACAATAATACATTGCCTGTCCCATCCCTTGTTTTATTTGAGTACCTACGTCACAATATGTCTTCATCATACTAAGTGCTCGATCAGCTGTTATCTCGACACTAACCCCTTTCGGCATATCATCTTTCATTCGGTCTATCCATCTTTTCTTTTCTCTTTAACGGGTATAAAACATAATAAGTGTATAAGTAAACAACCATGACTCGGCAACAAAAAGCTCTTCGTATATTATTTCTTCGCACGTACTATTTATATGACATAATATAATTCAAACCTGGGACATTTTTATAAGTATGATAAAGTGGTTGCTGTTACGACCAACCGATAGTCTTACGACTTAAACGTTAGAAATACCCAAGTAAATTTCAAGACACATATTTTGGGAATATGCCCAAGTCCGCTTTTATTTTAATCCGATAGACTTTGATCTGCCCGATAAAAATAAAAAAGCAACGGGAGTGCAACGCCACCTATCGGGAAAAGTAGTAGGTTAAGTTTTTTTTAAATATCTGATTCTCTGCGCGACTTCCTTAAATTTTTCGAACTTTTCGAAATTTTTCTTTAGGAACCTTTTACAAAGTACCATGTATACGTACAACCATGTATGTACAACTTGTATTACGTAAAATGTAAACAAACATACATTTATTTAGTAAGTATTGAATCTGTAGTGATTTTAATGAACCAAACCAAAGGTCAAAGCTCGGCTAAATCCTCGGATTTACTGTATTACTGTGGTTGATCTTCTTGACTCGTCAAGAAGATCAACCACCTGTTCGGGTAGAGGCTTCACGCGCCTGAGCTTCTCCCGCCCGCTAGGTGGGACCAACAGGGAACTGGTAGCCCGGTGACTCAGAAACAGATTCTGGGGTACCACTCCCAACAGAGGGTGCGCCGTGGGGCTTTTAAGACCTCCGAGAACACATTGAATGGACTTCCGAATGATGAATCCACGGACGAGACGAGAGTCCCACATAACGTGACGTAGTATGCGTCACGCATTTTCTCAACGGCAAAAAAGGTCGAGCAAAATATGTACATAAAATGTTTTATATGGGGCCCTACTATTTTTAAAACCTAATTTGCAGAATGTCGATGAATGCAAGTCACCTATACGCAAGATGACTAAAAGCAGTGTACCTAAACAGCAAAAAGTCTGTAGTAATAGGTTTTGGTAAAAATTAAAGACATGATTTTGGCCAACCTGTATTTCTTTATTATTATTACTAATTTTAGTATGTATTCTCTTTTACAGGAAAACTCATACAATATATATGTTTATTCATTTCTGCTTTTTGGGTGATATCAAAGATTTGAATCGTATTGATATAAGTTTTTAGACGTTTTGCTCTATAGAAATTGTGTATTTTAGACCTATTGGGTCCCTTGGTGTCCGCGGTAGCAAGTTAGACTTTGTGATCAAAATAACCTAAAACTGACCATCTAAATGTCTATGAAGGAAGTTGTACTTTAAATATATGAATGAAATGATTGTTGTACGTGAAAACATAAATATATTGCTGATTTTGATATTTCTATACACGTGTCTTAAAGGTAGATAGAGCCGAGGCTTGTAGGAGTTCCATTTTCACCATTTAGACACGGAACTCTGAAACAGGCTCCCCAAAAGTCTTAAATGTTTTACATTAATTAATAATAATAAATAATAAATAAATATATATTTCCAACACTCACCAATTAGCCTAGCCCCAAAGTAAGCACTGTAAGGCTTGTGTTATGGGATACTAGGGTAACGGATAGAATACATATACTGTACATATATAAGCATATTTATATAGAAATACATATTAAACATCCATGACTGGAGTACAAATGCTCGTATTCATCACTCAAACATCTGCCCCCACCGGGATTCGAACCCGGGACCTCTCGAGTCGGCGACACCATGAAACCCGGCGTACAAACCACTCGGCCACGGAGGTCGTCATTCTAATTATACTGATAATCTTGATATTTCAATCTATGTAAATGGTTTGTTTGTTGACTATAGGCAGATGGGGCCCGCCGCGGTCAGCTGCATATGCGCGCCCGGTTACACAGGAGATCTGTGCGAGTCACAAATAGCAGAACCAGGTATGTTGATTGATAAATCTTCATTCATGTATTTTTTTTTTATGAAAGAGTTAAATAAGTGCACATCTTATTTTAGAGATTTTTACATTCTCGCGATAATTTAAACTCTATGAGGTTGGCAGATCATCAAAGTATGAAATAAATGCTTATGTTACTATTAAAAATTCATTTAGTACAACAATATTAGTTATAAGAAATGAAAATGTTATGCTTTAAAAGGCATCTTAACCGAATGACTGTATATTATTGTTTACTTTGTGAATCAGGCTATTAGGCCTCAACGGGGCAATGGAATGGTATGGTGGTAACATCCAGAGAACACAGAAAGAGGTTAAAGGAATGCTAATAGTCCTTTTGTGCGGTAATTGCTGTCGCCGGCTCGCCCCCACTACACTTCCACCTAATAGATAATTCCCAATCAAACGCTGCGACATCAAACAATCGAACCAATCAGCGCTCACACCCGAGAGCAACGACGCAATCAGAACCAAGTTTTGGTCAAGGTGTGGGTATTTGCTCACACATAACTGTGGCGCGCCTGCCCCGTCTACAATGCCCTTCTAACCTTTTTCTGTAGTCTGTTGTCCATGCAACGATAAACTTCTTGAGCTCATTCACAGACAAATAGACTTGCGCAGTAGACGTTTTTGTATCAGGACAAAGAATCCTTTTTTTTTATTGCTACTGCGTAGTTTTCCTTGTCTATTGTCGATGCTCAAGAAGTTTTCCGCGGTGTATAAATGCTTGCTATCAGGCAGACTACATGATTCTTAACTTTACACTTTTCCAACACCCTTAACTCAAGTAATGCTGAAAATTACTAAAACTGGACGGACGGGTTTATAACATAAAACTCCCGCATTCATTTACTCATAAAAGCAGTATTATTCTACCAATTTGAATAACGACTTCGGCTTTGAAAATCAACAGGTTTTCTAACTAAATGCTTTGAGACTGGGAGTCTCTAAAATACAGACGGGTACTTAGAGAATAAGACGCTTTCCACTTTGTCATGCTAATGCGAGCAGTTTGTATATCTCGTTGCTTGTAAATCTCACATCCCATTGCATATGTAAAGCAAATAAAATACAGCTCAAAGGATGCATTTTGTATTTGCAGTGTGTTACAATATCACATGATATCTTAGGAATTGTACTGAGTAAATATCTATAAGTGTAACTTGTAAGGGCCCAAATGGGGAAGTTACCTTCATCTTACAGAAGCCAACAGTAAAATAAAACTATCTATTAGCGGTGTTGAGTTTCTGTGGATGAGCAAGGTTCCAGGGCTCCGTAGGCTAGGAGATGAAGTCAGGATAGGAACCGGCGCTAATGATATTTTTGGTTTCACATGACCTTATAGATGAAAGGTTTTAGCCTGCGCAGACGAAGAGCTTTTGTCCGCGAAAGACTTTTGTCCACCGTAATAGATCGCTTACAACGGCATCGAGTAACGCACACAATGGATTAAAATACCGCGGACAAAAAGTCCCCTGAACTACCGCGGATACCAAGGGACCCAACAGGTCAAAAATACGCGAGAGTCTGTGAAAAAATTATGTGACAAGAGGTGGCAACGCACACGTCGTGTGCTTTGCCACGCTCGATAGTGATGTAAAGAAGTGGAAAAAAGAACTCCTTTCAAAGATACATCAAAAAAAAAGAATATCACGACCGAAAGGACAATGGCGAAATATTTGTTGAAGCAATTCTTTAGCTTTTCTTAGCTATATGTTTTATAGATTTCATCATAAGAAATGTAACTAAGATAATCTCCACGGATTTATCAAATAATTGAGGAGGGTTTTTTGAGTCTGGAATAAAAAACTCAAAATTAAGGTAACACAATTAAGTAATTACCTCTTACAACCTGGGATCCTTTAAAAGAGGCGTGAAGAAACAACATGCAGGCTGGCAGGGTGAGGATGGCTGGTATGGCAGGTAGAACTGCTTTATCAGCTATCTTCGCGTCTGGACTTCACCTTCACTTAACATCAGGTGGGGTGGAGTCATTTGTCGGACCTATCTATAGCAAAAAAAATAAAAAAAATCAAGCAATCACATTTTTTTATTGTGGCTTAGTATCATGTCTTCTGAGTCTACTATTTTAAGTGATTTCAGTGATTAAATCTACCTCTACTATGTTTTAGTATGTTTTGCATCACTTTACGCTTAATATATATTTAATTATCTTTCAGAAAGATCGTGAAACATTGTTTTATTCAATATTATAGCGAAAGCATAATAAATAATCTCAACAATACAAATAAATAATCAATCCGATATAAAGGAAAAGACCCAGTGTTTTCTTTTAGAGTGTCTTCTCTATTTCTTAAAATTCATATTAATTACAATACAACATTATCTTAGAATATTGCTTCTATAGCGTGCGCCTCACTAAATTGTCGGCGGACAATTGTCCGCACACCGTGTGCGTTGAGTCCCTGACAAGTCCTTTTCTTCTTAATACGCCGACAAAAGTCCTCCGTGACTTTGTTCTATGAAATTGTTCTACTTCAGCCATCCACAAAGAAGAAGCGGCAGTTATGTAGTTTTCCGCAGTGATGACGATAATTATTCTGATCCAGATGATTTATTTCACCGGCAAATACATTTCACAAAATTAAACATCATGGCTATAAGTGATACTTTTATAAATCATCAATACTAATATAGTCTTTTTTCGCCTGGGAAAAGAACCCGGAGCTCGCCTTCTACGCGGGGAGCGTTCTACCACTGAAACACTTGTTGATAAGGTCTGAATTTTTAATAACAATTAAAATGTATTTCGATTTACTAAAGATGAAAAATTTGTGGCGACGTAATATTTAAAAAGGAGGGGAGATTTCTGGAATGAGCCTTCAGATATTGCGTCTTTACAATCGTCACATAAATAATAAGTAGTACTTTAACGATTCCGAAACGTGATTGCGTAACAGTCAACTGAACTTTCAGTGCATAAAAAAGAAAACCGATACAGCCAGTAACTAAAATCTCGAAGAGAGTACAATACAAAACGCTTTTTTGTACACCACAGAAAACATATTTAAGCTTGATGAGACGAAATGGAGCGTGTTTGTCATAAAGCTGGGTTATTATATAATAAAAGGTCTCAACTTGCTCGTCCACAGACTCCGCATCAGTTACCGGCGACCAATCTGTATTTTGAGAGTTTATAAATAACAAAACATTTCCTAAGAAAACATGACATACATAAATATCGCGCTACTTCTTTGCAATGCACTTGTCAGCACGCTTCAATCTGCGCTGTAAGAAAAAGGCACTATTCTTGTTAAAGAACTGATTTAACGACCGGTTAATGTCACGTTATCATGTCCGCACTCCACTGTCAAAGGAAAGGAAGGAAATGAGCGGAAAATAGCTTGAACGGAACGGATACGAAATAGTTCTTGCTTTTCACTAAGAAAACTCCGCTCAGCTTAGCAGATGGGACATTAATAGACTAATGATGAGGATTAATTTTCCTGTAATAAGTAGAAAAATATGCACAAGGTAAGGGTGAGCACTATGGTATACTTCTGTCGAAATTGTTTTGCATCTGCACTTAAGTCACGCTTTAAGTTCACATAAAACCTTCAAAATAAAATAAGATCTTTTTATAGCCGTTCATTTGCAGTACGTGCCGTACATCTGTGGAACTCTCTCCCACTTACCATAAGACGTGCGAAATCCATTCACGCTTTTAAAAACCTCCTATTATCTGGCCTTATAAAACTTTCGATTATAATCTTTTTTGTGATCACTACCTACAGAACTAGATTTTTTGTTTAGATTTGTTTATTGTTGTGTATGTATCTATTTATTTAAGAGTATATATATTGTGTATTTTTATTAATATGTATGTATATCACTCAAGTGATTTACACCGCCTTCTCTCCAACTTCCTTCTAGTCCTCTCCATCCAAAGGTTGCCTGGAAGAGATCGCTCTTAGCGATAAAGCCGCCTATGGATACACTACTTTTAATTGGTTTTGTACTAAATGTAATGTTTTCTGTGGTGTACAATAAAGCGTTTTGTATTGTATTGTATCGTATTGTAAAACCAGGTGCAGTTAAAGCGACTCGCTAGACCCTTTACAAAGAAGGAGTACTTACTATGTTTCAAATTACGAAAATGAAAATTAAAAAAAGAATGTCGCTTTAAAAGAAGACTCTCAGAAAAATGTGATACTTATCCATGCAACAACATTAAAAGACAAGTGTTTCTTCGACAAAACGACTACGTACATAAAAAATTTGCATGCAAGCATTGCAGCGTCTTTGCCATTCGCTCGTTTAACAAGATGGTGTTTTACCTCGAAAGCTCATTTACGTTCCGCGCCATCGCGTCGTTTCAGAAAATAGTCATAGCACGTTCCTCGTAAAAGATCTGGCTGACTCGACGGCCGCCGGCAGCCATTATTCTATACCATTATCCTGGCCATTTACCAATTATACCGCTCATCGTCCGTTCGGCGGGCAGTATTAATAAGGATTTCGGATGCAAAGTGGCCGGGTCCGTGCCGGTGAAGGAGATGGGAGGCTCAAATGATTGAGGCCAACAAACGATTCGTAACAATACTCGGACTGGACTTAAAATCGTTCTGCTACGCCTGTTTAATGAGTAACCTTATTTATTATACACCTAAGTATGCTTTTTTGGAATTTTTGCCTTTAGTGTTTGCTTCATATAAGCCACGTTTTTAAGACTGCTATGTTTGTATCATTTATACAGGCATTCAAAATATGTACACGTACACGTTAATCGTAAGTCACCAGTCTCATCTGCCGATGTCACTTCTTTATTTTTCGGACTAAACTATTGCTATTTTAGAGACAGTTCGAATTTTAAATAAAACCTTTGATAAGTTACCTTCTTGGTTGCCATGTTTTGGAGTGATTTATTATATTTAAATTACACGACAGATATGACTTTATTGTATAATTTATTTGACCGCTAAACGCTAAACCACTACAGATATGGATTTTTATACAACTTTT